AAAAAAAGACCAGCCTGGGCTACATAGTGAGCTCAAGGCCAGCCTACACTACACAGCAAGACCCTGTCTCAAAAAGACAATAAATAAATAAATAACCAAAATTGTGACTGTTTTATCTCTAGTATGTTCCTAAAATTTTACATCTTCTGTGTAACACTTTTGCTTCCATGTAGCACTTAAAAATTCAATAATTTAGCCTTTCTTCAAAAATATTGCTATCAACATCATTGTGTATAATTTCTGCACTTGCTGATATTTATACAGCATCATGAACAGGTAGAAGTTATTGCTCTAGAATTTACAACAGGGATCAACAGGCATCTTAGGAACATAAAAACCATCGTGGATAATGGGCTATAGAGAACCAGGCTTACTTGCGGCTGTTCTTTCAGCAGCAGGTCATAGTTCAGCCATGGCTGTTTCCTATCGGGAAGTACTATCATATGTCCTCTTTTAAGTGTAGGATGTTGAAACAAAAAGCAAAGTCACAATCTTGCTTTAAAAAATATTTGTTTTGGCTTGAGTTAGAGTACTTTGTTTCTTTCTGTTTGCTTTATTGTGTCCTGATTTTAAGAGTCCTTATTTTAAATTATGAATTTCCACCTCCTAATTTTTTTTAAATAGGTTTACTTGCATCCTGAAAGACAGTGTCACAGAAACACTGCCAAAGGTGAATAAGACAGGAGCAATTTCTGGATATTCTTTCAAGCAATGCCCGCACCAATTAAGTGGTAAGATGTCTTTGGAGAATTAATAAATTCTAGTTATTATGTTGTATGCAAATAATTATATCAGATATACTTTTATAGGTATAAAGCTAAACACAGCTATATAGTAATAAACTTTTGTACTGAAGTTCTCTGGGAGTAGCACAAAACACATACATGCCTGACTCTCCCTTCCACATGCACTCCACGGTGCATTGAAATGTTTTTTCTTTACTTTATAAAAGGACACGCCTTGCTCTTTCTTTACAAAAGAACATATCTTCCTACCTCAGTTCTCATCACTGATTTTCTTTCTTCTTCTCTGCCTAAAATTTTACATGAAAATCTGTTAAACGGGTTAATACAAATCAAAGAGAGCAAGTGCAAAGACGGACATGGCGCTCTCCTCAAGATGAAAAGATACTTGCGTAGGTTAGTTAGTGAAGCAACTGGTTGGTGGAGTGTTGGAACCAGGAGAGGGCAGAGCAGAAAATCAACATGCAAATTTATGGGCCTGAAATCCTTGTAACTTAAAAAGAACATTAGCATTCTTTTAATGCTTCTATGTGAGAGTAGGAATTAAAGAGATTAATATTGCAACAAAAGACTTCTGAAGAAAAGGGGGGAAAATAGTTTTAAAAAATCAAGTCAAGAGGAACAGTTGCCAAAGGGGAGATACTGTAGCTGCCCCTGGAATCTCAAGGGAACCTATATTTTTTCTCTCTTATTTCCAGCTTGCAGCAAAGATGTTTATGTGGGCCTAGACATGAAAGGAATGAACTACAACAGCTCTGTTACCAGGAGTGCCCAGGAATGTCAAGAGAGGTGCACGAATGACATCCACTGTCACTTTTTCACATATGCAACAAGATATTTTCCCAGCATGCAGCATCGGTGAGTGAGCTCGAAGCCAAGGCCAAGGACGTGAGATACTTCAGTGAAAGTAAAATGCTAATTCATTGAAATTGTTTTTCACTTTGTTGGAAAATTTTATTTTTAACCCTAAAAGACATTTGAATAATAGTAATTCCTATTTTTTGTCATGAAAAGTTAATTTAAAAACAGTTTGGATGCATTTAATTCATGGTAAAATATGTCCTTTTCACAGCACTTATAAAATATGTACATACTTAACTTATATCTTGGATAATTTAAAAAGTGCTCCATTTTAAAATTGGTAATCATGAAATAGCTCCAATTAGTGATAGTCTTCTTAACCTAAGAGACGTTATCATCTAAGCCCATAGAATGAAAAATTAAAGCTCATTCACCTTTTTTTCTAAATAATAGTTCCTTCCCTAAGACTTTGAAGTAATAGAAGCCCATTTCTAAAGTGGTATCCCACTTACACTGAATTTTGAAATATTCCAAGAATAAGTGGATTGTATAAGAATAGAAAAATGATATGTCCACCAGTGACTGTCTGTATTTTCTTTGAAATTTTATTAAAAATATGAAGTATTAATTTTTATATTTAAAAGTATTTGTGATTTTCTAAATTTGCATAATTGAGCCAGCGAGATAACTCAGCAGACTAAGCGCCTGCTTAGGCAAGCCCAGGGACCAGGGTTTGATCCCCAGCAACACGTGCCACACTGGCCCCACCTTCAGGTGCACTGAGCAGACCGTGGAGCCCGAGCGTGGTGATGCACGCCTGTAAACCCAGTGCTGGGAAGGCTGAAAAGAGGAGGATCACTAAAGATCCGAGCTGCATAGTGAGATTGTATACCATAATAAATAAGTAAACAAATAAAAATAAATAAATTTGCATAGGAAACTACATTTATCTTCAGTCCAATGGGGAAAATGCAATTAAGTTCTAATTACTAATATTTAGATATTAACACTGGATTTTAACTTTCTGCTCTAGATATTCATAAAAAGGAAGTCAGTTGGAAATCACACAAAATATCCAAGAATAATGATCAAACTTAAAAGAGAAGGATGGCATGAAAACAGGAGACTTAGATAAGAGCAAGTTGATCTGGGAAGAGAGGAAAGGGATGTAAGGGAGAGTAATGGGAAAGAAATGGTCACAATACTGTATTCGTGTACAAAATGCCACAATGAAATTTAATACTTTGCAAAATTATAATTCATCAATAATTTATATGAAAAATATCCAAACTAAAAAATAATTGTTTAAAACACCAAATTGGTAATTAGTCCTCCATGACTTATCTTAGGTCAATTGAGAGGACATATTTCATGCCACAGAGAAAAGAACGTAAACTGCAAGCTGGGAAAATATTGAGATATCAAGGGAAAAGTTACAGCATTAAAATTGAAAACAGATGGAGAAATCACACCTTCGTATAACTGTTCTCTTGGTGTCATCGCTGCTTCCAAGCTGTCACTTTATTCGCAAAGAAATAAAGTTCACAAAATCCTCAGGACCTCCAGGATGTCCTCAGTGACAGTGCAGGGACACAAGTCAGCAGACTAGCATCTACCCTGAGTGCTCTTCAGGGTGATTCCTGTGCTGCCCTATTGTTCTGCCCAAATATTAATTTCTTCCTGCAACAAGCAGTTGAAAGAACACAAGATATTTTTCCATCTTCTTTTTCATCCAGGAATGTTTGTCTACTGAAGCACTCCAAACCAGGAACACCAACCAGCATAACAAAGCTCAGTAATGTGGTATCCGGCTTTTCACTGAAATCCTGTGCACTGTCTGAGCTGGGTAACTACTGCTTTCTTGATGGGGTACTTGAAAGATTAAATAGTGGATAATGTGGATGATATGGTCAGTAGGTTTAATTTGGGACCTGAACTTATGCTCACTGATGCAATGCCCCCAGGAATCTTTTCCCTTTGTGTAATAGAGTTCATTCTGCCTTACATAGAGCTTGTATTTAAACTTCAAGTTTAAAATTGTAATGTTATTTCTTTGCAAATAAAAACATTGAAAGATATTGGGATGAGCTCAAGCTTTCAATAGAGAATTTACAAATGTAGCATACATTTTCATGACCCTGCTGGTGCGTGGGTTTCCTGACATGGGTTCTTCTGTCGTGCAGCCTGCATTAGGGACATTTTCCCTGACACGGTGTTTGCAGACAGCAACATCGACAGCGTGTGGGCTCCAGATGCTTTTGTCTGTCGCCGCATTTGTACTCATCATCCCAGTTGTTTGTTTTTTACCTTCTTTTCCCACAAATGGTCAAAAGAGTCTCAAAGGTAAGGATTTTCGACTAAGGGTGATTTGTTCTTTTGAAAACAGATGATTAAAATCCATGAGCATCCTGAGTAGCGAAAAATTATATTCAATGTCTACATAGGACAAAAGTTGCAAAGAAGAATTGTTTGGTTTGCTCATTTCTCCTCTCCATCTCCTGACCACAAATCTAGTACTATCAATTGCTCTTGGTTTTTTGTTTGTTTGCTTTGTTTTGCTGTAAGCTGAGAGGTCTCAGTGTTTGGCAAAAGGAAAGTTGTCTAGCTTTCAGTAGGATGAAGAGGATAAGCCTGCCCATTAAAGAGCAGTTTATTCCACTGCAAAACAGCTGCAAATGTCAGTAAAATGGCAAATCCAAAGTGGAAAAAGAGAGGTGAAAAAGAAGACCTACATCAAGAAGTTTGGAGTAAAAGGGAGATTTGAGGAAGAGGACCTAATACTCTAGTGATGGGAATTAACAAAGGACAACACAAAAAGCATGCTATGTTTCTTTGGCCATTAAAGAGATATATGTTTCTTGAATAAGAATTACTAAAAATCAAATACACAATCAAGCCTTAAGTTTAAGCCAACTTCAACCATAGATTTTTCCATATTTTCTGAGTTGGAATTCCTGAAGCTGTCGGCATGCGCTGGCCTTGACTTCCCACTGTACCATACAGCTGAGGTGAGCCCTTGAATTCACTGTCCAGCAGGTAGGCCTCATGTCCCACAAGGTGAGACTACAATTTCAGGAGCACAAGGTCAGTCACATGAAAATATATTTGTTACTTTCTTCTATGAACAAGTTTATATAACATTTGACAATATATGCCATGACATTCTAGAGATATAGTTGTGAACTAAATAAGTGAAAATCTTGCCTCTTTGGACCATGGTGGAGATGACAGAGAAGCATTCACATTGGAATGTGTGATCATATGGAGCCAATAAGATTCGCCAGTGGGGTGGCTACGGGCTGGAAAGGAAACACAGTGTCAGTGATACAACGGAGTTCTTTGACCCATGTAATCAGAAGGGTGGACATGCCGATGACTAAGATGTGGAGGACTTCATGAGAAACCAAAATCAAGAGGAAGAGATTTCTCTGGGATATGTAGGGGAAAGGCCGGATTGGCAACTGGACATAGACGTCAGCTTCAGAAGGGACTTGGGCTCTAGGTCTGTGTTTGAGTCTTCCCAGTATACAGATCGTAGTTAGAGCCAAAAATCTGGTGAGGTCATAAAGTGACTGTAGATGGAGCAGAGAGGAGGCCCAAAGATGGAAAAGCCAGGCAATTCATAAATGAGAAAATGCAGAAATTAGAAAAATGCCTTAGTAACATGTCATTTTGTGATTGTCACTTCTTCATTTTATAAAATTACAGATGAGAAAGCTGGGAGAATTTAGCTCAGGAGTAGAATGCTTTTCTAGCAAGCTGGAAGCCCAGGTTTCAGCCATTAGCACCAATAATAGTAATAATAGTAATAATAATAATAATAATAATAATAATGGTAATAGTAGTAGTAGTAGTAGTAGTAGTAAAATAAAATTATAAATCAGCTAGATGTGGTGGTGCACACCTGTAATCCCAGTTACTTGGGAGATTGAGGCAGGAGGAATGCTGTGAGTTCAAGGCCAGCCTGTACTACATAGACAGTTCAAGGGTAACCTGTGCTCCAGAGCAAAACCCTATTTCAAACAGACAAAAAAAATTACCAATAAATATTTATAAGAGGAATAATACATTTCATCCATAATACACAATATGAGAGGAACATGCAAGTTGAAAGACTTGACTAAATTTAATTTATATTAAATAAAATTAGAAATCCACTTCCTTGACTATCTTAGTCACATCTCAAGGAGTCTATAGCCATATGTGGCTAGTTGCCACTGTAGTACATCACAGACAGAGAATATTTCTACTATTCCAGAGCACTGTTGGGCGGCTCTGCTCAAGGTTCTCGTCTTGAGTGACTTAGGCAGAATCTCTTCCTTTTGGGAAGATGCTGCCAGCAGATTAAAGAGTCAGTGATGGATCTCACTTATACATTTCTAAACCTGTGTAGGAGATTTTTTAGGTATCATGCAAATTCTTTTTTTAAAATATATTTTATTTGTGTCTGTACATTTTATAAAGCAATGAAATTCAGTGTGTTATTTTCATACAAACATATACAATATTTTTGATTCTATCTATTCCACTTTCCCCTTCTGACATCTGCCCCCATGTCCCTCCCTCCATCCTATAGTAATCTCCCTTCTAGTAGGGAAGTCTTGTGGTATTTGATTGCTAGTTCATCCATTTCCTTCAACTTGTATAATTTCATTCTTCTTCATAATTGGATACTATTCCAGTGTGTGTGTGTGTGTGTGTGTGTGTGTGTGTGTGTGTGTGTGTGTGTACAATTTTTGTTACTTATTCATAATAAACTGGTGGGCACCCAGGTGGGCATCTATATGTTGGCTGTTGTGAATTGTTCCTCAATAAAGATGGGGCTGTAGGTATAGAGCATGAACATTCTTGAATTTTTGAGGCAGAATAGAAGTGTTGAAAGAAAGGGAAAAAAGTGAAGATAGTAAAAACGCTGAAAACAGACCAAATCGTGAACATAGAGTCAGATGGTTTAGTTTTAACATTTTGTCTCTAACTTATAGGGTCATAGAATGTGACTAAATAGTTCATGAAAAATACTGTAAAACTAGCCACATTTTTGCTATTGAATAACAGCATGAGCTGACTTTACTTTCCACACATACTGTAAAAATGCTTTTTTGATGTGTTCTGTATTTATATCATCCTCTCTATTTTACCTTCAGAAATCTTTGCCTGCTTAAAACATCTGAAAGTGGATTGCCCACTACCCGCATCCAAAAGAACAACGCTCTCTCTGGTTTCAGCCTACAGAACTGCAGGCACAGCATCCCAGGTAAACAAAGAGCCTATCTCCAGCTGGTGGAGGCGGCAGTTCTTGGGGAGGTTGGTGAGCCCTAAGATCAATCATCTCACTGCTGATACGTGATGTGTTGTGTAGTGTTCTGTCACTCTTCCTTTTATCGCAACACTGACTTCTTGGGAGAGGAACTGGACATTGTAGATGTGGAAGACCATGAAGCCTGTCAGAAATTATGCACCAAAGCCATCCGCTGTCAATTTTTCACCTATTTGCCACCCCAAGAATCTTGCAAGGAAAGGAAGTAAGGCAGACAAAAGGTTACATATATGTGCCTGTCTTGCCCATTTGTGAGGTGACTTATATTTATCCTCCTTTGTTTCCAACCATAGAGGCAGATGTTACTTAAAGCTTTCTTCAAATGGATCTCCAACTAAAATTCTTCATGGGACAGGAAGCATCTCTGGCTATACATTAAGGCTATGTGAAATGGATAACAGTAAGTGTTATGTCAGTTGGAAGACCACCCGTGAAGGAATTATTCTACACTAAATGTATCATAGCTACGATAGTAACAGCCACAGAGGGGCTAAAGCTAGTAAAATAACAATTGAGCATTTTTTTTATTATTTTAACTTCTTTCATGTGTGCTAACCATGTTTTAAAGGTATAAATTACATTGTAGGGAAACGGTACCCCACGTAAAATAAATTGGATATGAGTATTAATTTGAAGCATTTGCTCAAGTAGGAGTTCCTGCTGACACACAGATTCAGCCAACAATTATAGGGCTGATTCTTAGTACTAATTCCAGGGATCATTCTTGTTATCTGTTAAGTAGAAAAATCAACCAATACCTTGGCTAATCAAATTATTCATTTTTAACATTTATTTATCTATTTATCTATTTATTCATTATGAGTTTAGTACAGGGTCTACAGGGTCTCACTACACATATCAGACTCATAGTGATTCTCCTGTTTTCAGCTTCCCAAGTGCTGGGATTATGGGTGTGCACCACCACACCCAATCTCAATCACCCTCTTAGTGCACCCTGGGAGTGGAGCCTGCATGGCAGGCCTGGGATAGAACCCTGGTCACTGAGCTCTGCCTAGGCAGGTGCTTTAACCTGCTGAGCTATCTGGTCAGTCCTCAAATTTTTCACTTTTTCACATTTGATCTAAAAGTGAAATATGAATGATTATGATATGTTTGTAAAAATAATGTATTTTGAGAGATTGTCATTCTCTCGGATTTACAGAGGTTTTGTGTACTTCAATACATTAGCAACAATTACTAAGAAATGCTAGTAATTTATAGCATGAGTCTGGTAGGGTACAAATAAAATATTTTCTATGTGGCATAAAGCTTATAATAATAAAAAAATATTTTCAAATCATCTCAATAGAGTTTCCATGTCAGTGACTAATTTCTCAACATAATAGATGATATATAGCCAAGTGGAGTTGTTCCAAGGGACAGAATTACAACAGAAAAAGAATATTGCAGAAATACTTCTTCCAAAATTATCATAAGAACTTACTATGGGGGCTGGAGAGATGGCTCAGTGGTCTAAAGCACCTACTTGGAACAAGCTTGGCAAAGTACAGGGACCACGGTTCGATCCCCCAGCACCACATGCCAGCCAGCTGCGCCCCCTGGTGGGCTGAGCTGGCCACACACACACACACACACACACACACACACCCCATAAATAAATGTTAAAAAAAAAAAAAGAACTTACTATAGCTTTATCATTTATTGATTTACTTCAAACCATGCTTTAGACTGCTTTGTTTAGTGTTCAAAATTATAAAGCACTACACACTTAGATTAAACTGAGATTTGGTGTACAAAATGGAGTGATAATCATGCTTTGTTATAGTTTTGTTTTTAATGTATTAATTTTTTATGTATTTGGTACAGGGTCTCACTACACAGCTTGGACTCATAGTGATCCTCCTATTTTCACTCTCCCTAGTGCTGGGATCACAGGCACGTGCCACCACACCTGGTCCTGGTGATTGGCTCAGTGCACCCAGGGGTGGGGTTGGCATGGCATGCGGTGCCAGGGATGGAATCCCAGTCCCTGCACTTGAGCTATCTCACTGGTCCTTGTAATAGTTTTAAAAGTACAAAACTCTTTTGTTGGATTATTTGCTGTACTGAAAAGATAAATTAACCCTTAACACCTGGGCAGCCCTTTTGTAAAACTGCAGTGCATATGATACTAATAGCCTGTCATGAAGTATGGTTTCCTAGAGTTGAAAAGTGCTTTGATGCTAATCTTTAGAAGAGTTAAGGGTCTTTGGAAAAGCCCCCAATTATGGTGTAGTCTGTGCATTGTTTCCCTCACAACTAAGTTTACCAAAGACAAGAATGAACATTCAAAGTAATTCTGCTGTCTTAATCTTACTTGGCATTAGAAAAGATACATCAAACATTTCATTAAGTGATACTGGTGTGTTTTTAAAATGGAAATAAGCATTTACATTTGATAAATTGCTGATACCACTTCTATCCTCCCTCCTTCATTATTTCTCTGCTAAGTTTTTAGTCCCCAGCCTATGGAGGTTACAGAATACATCTGTTTTAAATTGATAGCTGAAGGAGAAACTATGATATAAAAGCAGATAAAATTTTATGTTTTTTTTAGCACAGCTTCTGAGTTAAGTGAATTAAATAACTAGACATCACTGTACTATATTGGATAAGATAATATCCAATTACTTTATCTCTTACTTTAATAAGAGAGGGCCAAAAAATAAAAGAGAGAGAGGGCCTATCTAACAAATGTTGGTCATGTCCAGTATTGTTGCTGAGGTAAAATATAATTTGTCTTTCTGAAAATGCATAGCAAAGCTATTAAAAGAAACATTTCTTATTATCAGATGGAATGCTGAAAACTGCATTTCAGTATTTTGTTTAAACTGAGAAACAGAGTAGCGTGAGCATCAATACTTAGGATCTGTACCTTGTAGGGTCTTCATGAGTTATTTATCACATATCTTAATTACTGCTTACCAATGACTTATCCTCAGCCTTGCCTTTATGCCACTTCCCAGCTTGCAGCGTATAAGAGCCTCCAATAATTTGCAGAATAATGTTAAGATCTTTAAAGTGGTCTTCCAGACTTAGTGTCTGCCCAATCAATTCTTAGGTGAGAACTCTCCTGAGGCATCTATAACCACCTCATGCACTGTTGTTTCTTTCAAAGTTTCTTTTCCTATCCTCTCCTATTTTGAATCTATCCCATACGTATCTATGTAAATTACATATTCATTTTCCTACTGCAAAGAAATGCCTAGAACTCTTTGGGTGCATCACACTGGCACCATCTACAAGCTTGTTAGAATTTCAGCATCCTTCACACAAGCACTGAGTCGTATCTGTACTTTGAATGAGCACAGCTGATCCACTGATGTTTAGGATGTGGTACTTTAGAATACTGCTGCCTGTAAATGCTCCCCTCCCCCACACTTCCTGGGTTTTGTGGTGCACTTTGCAAAGGCTTCAAAGAGAAGGATGGGTTCTCCTATTGGGCATCCCAAGAAACAGAAATGAGATGGGCTATCCTGTCCAAGACACCCAAGAAAGGAAAGAAGCCCAGGGATGGGTCTGAATCAAAGTCCTTGGAAAGTAGCAATAATCAACCCCAGAAAAGTCCTAAAGTGTCAACAAAGTCAAAGGACACAAGTCCACAAACATAAAATCAGTTCTAATTTGGGCATGAAGCAAGCATATCTGGGAGCCAGGATTAACTGGAGGGAGCCACTGGGGAGGGGGAATTGGACAAACACTACAGATTGAATGGCTGTGAGGAGCAGCTTTTGTCTGTGACATTTGTTCTCCAGTTGGTAGCAGAGCAGGTTAAAACACAGACTAGTAGACTCCACTGCCAGCCTCTGGTTCACGAGGTCAGAGGTGAGCCCCAAGAATTTACATGTCTAACTAGTACAAGGTGGTATCTTTTGTTTGGGGACCACGCTTGGCAACCATTGTTTTAAAAGGCCAATCGCTGTTATCATTGAAGGAGACCCTGTCCCTATAGTACCAGCTGGCATGTACTTACCAGGCAGCTTGATCATTCCATTTGTATGTGCACGTTTTCTCTGTCAACTTGATTATAAAGTCTAACTCAGGGTCATGGGAAAATTCTTGAACTGAGGAAAATGATCCTTTCTTTTATTCCTCAGGGAGCGTAACTACTGATGGAAATTGAAAATGTAGAAATCCACTTACCGCAATCTCTTTTTTGTAGTATGCACAACCAAAATCAAGCCCAGAATTGTTGGGGGAACTCTGTCTGTTCGTGGTGAGTGGCCATGGCAGATAACTCTGCATATCACAGCCCCCATCCGGGGACACTTGTGTGGAGGCTCCATCATTGGAAACCGGTGGATATTAACAGCTGCTCACTGTTTAGATGGGTCTGTTATGTTGTTGTTTTTATATCTACCATCCTCATACCTATGTGAGAACTACTACTGGTGTTATTAGTTCATAAATACTTTAAAATGTTAGCTATTCTTTTTACTAAATTAATTTCCCATCTCTAGCGGGGCACAAAAAACAAAAAGGAGGAATCACTCATGGTCTACAGTATGGTATTCAGCAACAGGATAGGTGCAGAAACTATTTGTCTGCACACTGTACCCTGCCTCATCTAAATGCACACACGTCCCCAGGGCTTTCTGCTACTTCCTTTAGGAACATAGCATTCTTTGTTTATTGAGTCCAGAACTAAACTGATGAAGAATTTCTCATTCTGCAATTCCAACTTCCCATATCCACGCTTGTTCTCTTTCATGCTGCCTCTTTCCCTCCCTCCTTATTTCTCTTTCATCTTTTCCCCTCTCTTTACACCACCACAATACAGACAGACATCACTGTGCATCCTGCTCAGATTATGTCACTTACGTCGCTTTCACTTTTGGTGAGAAGTAAAAGTTCCAGCGGGACAGTGTGTGAGCGCCTGTAGCCCTGGAAATTTTGGCTTATCCAGTTTCCTCTTTGCCTCTGTAGTATCCTCTGACTTCTCTTGAGCCTCCGTTCTCAGTTTTAGGTTTTTATCTCTTCATGACACACGGATGTTATAAGTCAGGAATATATTTCAAGTTAACGGTTCCCTTCACATCTTACATATAGGGAAGTGGAGTACAAAAAGCTCTTGTGAATTTCTCAGTGTCACAGCTCATAACTGGCAGGACTGAGATTAAAACCCTGTACTTTTCATGGATGGGTGTATATATGTATTAATTTTATTTATTTATTTATTTTGTGTGTGTTTGGCCAGCTCAGCCCACCAGGGGGCGGGGCTGGCTGGCATGTGATGCTGGGGATTGAACCGTGGTCCCTGGGCTTTGCTTAGCTTAGCTTGTTCTAAGTAGGTGCTTTAGGCCACTGAGCCATCTCACCAGCCCCGTATATATGTATTAGAGAACACAAAGAACCTTTATTTTATGCATTTCATGTAAGATAAATGCTAATTCAGTACCCTCTTTATAGTTAAGATACGTAACTGAAGAACTTTAGTATGAACTCAATCTTTCCACCTAAAAGTAAACTATTGGCATGGAATTTAGTAATAGCCAGTTAAATAGCTATGCAGCTCAAAATGTTTGGGAAATGCCTAATGAAGGAAGTATATTTCACTCTGTTGTTTATTCCTTAGGGTAGACTCATCTAAAATTCTGCGTGTTTATGGTGGCATTGTAAATCAATCTGAAATAAATGAGGATACTCCTTTCTTTGGGGTACAAGAAATAATAATTCATGATCAATACCAAGTGGCAGAAAGTGGGAATGATATAGCCTTGCTGAAACTGGAAGCAGCCATGAATTACACGGGTATGTAGAGTCCTAAGTGGGAAGTTACCTACAGAGGTGAGCTAGGTGAAATATTTACTAGTAAGATACTCATGACATGACACTATCAATCTGTTCATGTGCCTTCATCAAAGGGAGAGGATTTGGAAAGCTTGGCTGTCACTCTGTTAAGACTGAGGGATCAGGCCAGGGAAATGGCTCAGTAGAACAAGCGCTTGCCTGACAAGCACAAGAGCCTGAGTTCAATCCCCAGTTCCATAAAAAAAAAAAAAAAAAAAAAGGCTGACAGGATCTTAGGTTGAAGGTGTGGATGAAAGTTTTAGCTTTCCTTAGGTGCACAGACAGCATAGTTTTATAACATTTTAGAATACTGGGAATAACTGAGTCTATGAGTTCCTTTTGGAGGGTGAAATGATAGAGGGCCAGAGTGATTAAGCATTCCGTAAGATCACAGGCCTAGCTGGAGTGCCGCAGTGGGGGACAGGGTCTGCTCATCTGTGTCACATCATCCTGGGATCTTCAGCATGTGACTTTGAACGTCAGAGATGATGACGTGTGCACAGAAGGCAGAACATGCAATAACAAAGAGCAAAAGCATGAGGATGAAAAGTGAGAGGAAGAGAGTACCTTCCAGGAAAGAAGGAGTATTTAGCTTCTCATAACTAAACTATGATTTTTTTTTTTAATTTAGATACTCAACGACCCATATGCCTGCCTTCCAAAGGAGACAGACATGTAATCTACAATGACTGCTGGGTGACGGGATGGGGATACACAAAACTAAGAGGTAAACAATGCAGTTTTAATCTATAGTGCATGCTAAAAATAAGGAGCTGGGTTAGCTGTGCCCTGCGCATGTTCTGCTGTATCAGGTCTTACAGCTGCAGCACAAATAAAATAGAATAGCACCATTGAATCTGAGGAAGGGTACTCATAACGATAAACAGACCAAAATCACCCAAGTAAGGATAATGTCATACCAGTTTCATTAGAAGTCTGAGATATGATTAAGCCTCTTTAAAAACTATTTTTAATCAACTTTAAAGTAAGGCCTAGCACTTTTTAGTAAATGTCCAATTTGTTATCTAATTATTTCTTCTGGGAAGTAATTCTAATGGGTCATAATTAATGTTTAAGCTTGATTAACATTAATAAAATGGAATGCACAACAGTGAGAATAATGTCTTTTTATACTCTATAATTATAAAAACCTATGAGATATTTCTAATATTTTTCTCCCTAGATTTTTTAGTATAATTTTTATTTTAAAGCTATATAGATAGGTAGTTTCTATATGACAGTCGTATTTTTTAAAAAACCACAATTTTTTAAAAGACAAGGTACAAGACACTCTCCAGAAAGCCAAAATACCCTTCGTGCCCAGTGATGAGTGCCAAGCAAGGTACAGAAGACACAAGATAACCAACAAGATGATCTGCGCAGGCTACAGGGAAGGAGGGAAGGATGCTTGCAAGGTAAGTGTTCTCCACCAACGGGACACACGCAAATTAAAATGCTGAATATGTTTTAAAGAGCAGTCATCTGATGATAAGAAACAAGATGCATTTTGCCAAAATCTAATGTACATAGCCTGGAGGAATCAGGTTCTTTGAAGTTTTTGAAAGGACCAGGGCTGAATTTTAAGCAAAATCCTTTTGAGCAAATATATGTATTATGGGAAGAATCTAAAGAGACCTGTGGGGAAATAGTTTGGCAGTCTAAACACCTGCCTGGTAAGCGCAAACACCCCGAGTTTGATCCCCAGTACCGCATGCCATGTTGGCTCCAGAATCCTGGGTGTGCCGTGCTGGCCACCAAGACCAGGCATGGTGGCACACTCCTGTAATCCCAACCCTGGGGAGGCTGAGATAAGAGGCTCACTATAAGTCAGGGCTGCATAGTGAGCCCTTGTAATAAATAAATAAATAGATAAATAAATAAATAATTTTAAAGTGACCTGTGCTACTTTTGCCCCCTCCCCTTTTCACAGGGAGATTCTGGGGGCCCCCTCTCCTGTAAGCACAATGAGGTCTGGCATCTGGTGGGCATCACGAGCTGGGGAGAAGGTTGTGGTCAGAGAGAACGGCCAGGTATTTACACCAATGTGGTCAAGTACGTGGACTGGATTTTGGAGAAAACTCAAGCAGTGTGAAGAGTCCTAGGTGTGCTGGACCCTTGAGGGGCAAACCAGATTGTTCCCTACACGAGGGCTCTGATTTTGCTGAAGAAAACATGGTAATGTTCTTTCCTCTGTAGTTACAAATTGCATGGGCTCCATGTTTCTAAGAAAATATTAAAGATTGTGTTTTGAAAACTCTCATTGGATGATAATTGTGTTTTGTTTTCAGCACACAATGTCTTGCTTTATGATTGCACTTTTACTCTGCCAAGGAAATCCCATTAGGACATAATTTTGAAGATTACACCATGGTAGTTGTCCCGAAACTGTCAAGTAGTGGCACCAACTGGCCAGGTAGAACTGCTTAAAGGAACTCCTCACAAAAAAATTGCTGAATAAAAACAAAGGAAGCTGTAAGAAATGACAAGGAAGACAGTCAGCATCAATTTGTAAAACTCTGTACTCTCCCTAAGGAACACATTTCTTGTGAAAAGAAAAAAAAAATTTGATTGACATTAATGATAGGATTTCATAAAGGTGAACAATTTCTGTCTTTTCAATGTTTAGTGTACACTGCATATCAGTGTGGGCAGGCACAAGCTAAAACTGAATCTGGTAATGAGGATTCTAGAATGTGTATATGAGAGATTAGGATCAGCAATTTACCTAGAAGTGTCACTACAGTATCTCAGGGGACGCGTGTACAGATGCACTCGCGTAGAAAGCCACTTGTGCACAGACCGTATATTATTTGCAGTGTTTAGGAAAGGGAAAGGTTAACGGGGCAAGGGCAGAAAGCAGCCTACTAAGGAGAGCTGCTGCTCCAAGTGTCATTTTCAAACAGTTAGATAGTTGAGAGAAATCAATATGAAATACATCTGCACTACAAGGAAAAAGACAATTTTGGAGCAAATGAATGTTTACAGTGGAGGCTTCAGCATCTTCAAACAGCTGAAGTTTTCTCTTTACTGGAAATATTTACCTGGTTATTGTTCTGTTACTTACAATAGCCTAGAATTAGAACTATCTCCATATAATTTTCAACCTGTGTCAATTCACCCAATATGAAAAATATTTATTGAGCAAAAGTATGTAGTAGTATCACACTGAGCCATGGGAAAACACAGGGTGGGTAAATCAGCTATAGTCTCATGAAGTTTACTACACAGTCAACAAAAAATAATCATACAAAAATTGCAAAATTTCAAACTTGAATAAGCAGGGTGCATAGAGTTCTCTGAGAAAAAGAACAAAACTTCAAAGGGTAGGAACAACTGAGATAAGGAAAAGGAGAAAAGAAAGAAAGAAGGAAGGAAGGAAGGGGAAAATAGATGATAGATAGATAGATAGATAGATAGATAGATAGATAGATAGATATGATATGATATGATACCCTGGATAACTATACTGCTGATTTCTGCTGGTCTATAGTGAGGAACAGTTAATGCTTTTTTTTCTTTAATGTTTTTCGCCAATTTTGCATGCTTGTATGGTAATCTGTACAACTGAACATGGTAATCTGAACAATTTATATGGTAATCTGAACAACTGAACATGATAATCTGAACAATTTATATGGTAATGTGAACAACTGGACATAGTGATGTGAACAACTAATTTGAAGACAACAGTATGCAATGTAAAAAGAATTGCTGAATTCTTATCATCTTATTTAGTGAAATTCTGTATCATTTCTGATGAAGGAGCAAGAGAGATCCATCTCTTCAATGATCAATCTGAAGCTTCAAACTCATTTTTATTTCTTAGTATGTAACTATATATAATGTCTTAACATTTGAATGCCTAACTTATGCCCATAATTCAGAACTCAAAACACTGTGAGAAGCTATAAAGCACAAATTATGAAGATACCCTCTCCTACACCCAATGATTGCTTGAACTAAACATTCTTAGTGCTTTTCTCATGTGGCTTCCAGTCTGGACCATATTTCTGAGTGGTGCAGAGTGAGGGTCCTTAGTCTAGTACAGAAGCAAGGCCTTATATCACAGAGATCCTACATGTTATTTGATCAACCCCCAGTTGCAGAACATTTAGGTTGCTTCAGTCTGTCTCTCTTCGGGATATGTGCAGGTCAAATATATTTCAAAAGCAGAATTTCTGAAAACAACAATAACATCAACAACATAAACGGGGGTGGAGGAATGTATTTTCAGTTTTGATAACTTTTGGCAAATTTCCCTGCTAAAAATTTGTAGCCATTTTCTCTTCCACAAATCGATAGAAAAAGGTATCTTGATTTTTATTTTGAATTTTTCTTAACCTAAATGGTATTGTGTTAATCTGGCGTACAGGATCACCAAACTAATAATTGCTTTATTTTTTACCCAAATCTTAATTTGGCAGTTACTTTGTAGACAAAAACAGAACATGTTCTTTGCGGTCATAACAACCTGGTTAGAATTCTTGATGAAAAAGCAAGTGATCCCAGGATGTATACTGCTCAAACTTGCTCAGCATGGCAGCTGTGCCTCCCCCTCCCTGGGTGTCACAGATGTGCACTTGTGATTTCATCTCCAGTGCCACAGTCAGATGCGAATTTGTGCACATTCACTGACACACTCTCATCCTCCTAGGGAAGCCAGTCATGGTGGGCAGGCCGAGGCATCTGATGCATAGCTGGGCGAGCCACAGCGAGTGCTTAGAGCTGTCAATCTGTGCAGAGTTTGAAACTTCGGATTGATTACTGAGGGTGTGGCTTTGTCTTCCCTCCCCATGGGAGGAGGAAACGTTTCCATTAGGGTGGCGGCACACCTCCAGAAGCCCAAAGACCACAGAATGCAGCAGCAGAGTGCGCAGACCCTGCCCTTTCTGATTTCATAGCAATAAATCCCTTCTTTGTGTTTAAGCCAGTTTGATTTTAGATTTTATAATTTGCAAAAACACCCCAGCATACAAGGATATAGTTACCAAAAGCAATATTATTACCCTAACTCAATTATTTTTATTTAATTATTATTTATTATTGCTATTATTGCAGTACTGGTGATCAAATCTTGGGCATGCTAAGCTCAAGCTCCACCACTCAGCAACACCCAGCCCTGATTCAATTAAAACTAATCGTACATTTGTTAGGGTTTATCACTGTGCTGATCTAGGAAATTTGATTTATTTCTTCTCCAGTTAAAAAAGTCCAGTTTTTAAAACGTGATTTGTGTTGTGAATGGTCAGGAAGGTGGCTACAGCTCTGTAGAACTGGCTCCTATTGTTAAGCAGGTGGCACTCTCTGCACAGTCAGGAGGCCAGGTCCCATCACCTGTCATATGCACAGGAGGAAGCCGGAGCATCGGAGTGAGCATATACAAGACTGAGGTGCTTGTTTAGGAAAGCCTTCACAAATAAATTTCACACTATCTGATCCCTATCTAACCTTAGCTACTGTCTTGCCTCATTAAAAACCTGGGCAGTCAGCATGGTGATGCATGCCTGTAATTACAGCAATCTGGCAGGTGGAGGCCAGAAAGACTGGTAGTTTGAACCCAGCCTGTGCAATTTAGTGACTTAGCAAGACTCTGTCTTAATTAAAAAAAAAAAAAACAAAAACAAAAAACTTGCCCAGGTGCTGGGGATATAGCTCACTGCATTGGCATTAAATTCAATTCCTAGTAATAAAAGCATAAAAACAAAAACATCAGGGAACTTTCATCCATTGTGACAAGCGCTGTGCGTCCATCTGTACCTGCTCTCGCCTCTCCTCCCTCCACCGCCTGGGCCTGCGTTGATCTCTAGCAGCACTGAGTTACCTGCTTCTCTGTGCCCCACTGGGCCAGCTCTGATGAAGGCTTGCCCTTTCCTAACCCTGTAGGATGTTTCTAGTATCCTGGTTGGTGATGTCTCGTAACTGCAGGCAGACGATTTTGTGCTCACAGCTGACCCAGCAGCACACAGTGCTGAGCCTGAGGTCACTAGAATCTCCTCTTCATGCCTTTCCCTTCCTTTGCACCTCTTCCCAGGGGAGGGTTTCCGCGGGTGTGGGTGTAGCGGTGGTAGCCACACGCCACCACCTTCAGGCATGATCTGTGAATTCTGTCTGTCATTCTTCTCTCATACCCACTTCTCACACCTTGCCTTAGTGGTGCAGGGGTCTCTTTTCTCATTTGCAGGAAACACTTTCTGCCTTTGCTAAGGCTGTCTTGCAAGCTAAAAATAAGCTCAATGTATCCTTGTGGGGCTGGGGGAAGGGGGAGGAATTACAATGAAAGCAAGTGTTCCTGATAACTTTATCCTCTCAAAATCACTGCCCCTCAGGGCCCTGTTTCCTTATGTCTACAACCAGTGTCAGCTTCTGAGGGCTTCCACAGTAAATTGCCACAAAAGCAGGAGTGGGAGTGGGAGTGGGGGTGGAGAGTGAGTAAAAGAATGGAAGTTATTCTTTCTTAATTCTTGAGGCCAGAAGTCTGAAGTTCAGGTGTCGGCAGCCACATGCTCTGAAACCCCAAAGGAAGAAACGTCCCTGCGTCCTCCAGTTTCTGGGAGCCTCATGTGTCTCCTGGAGGTGGCTCTCTGGCCCTGCTGGGTCTTTTCTTCTGCATCCCGTTTCTCCTCTTAAAAGGAAATCAGTTCTATTGGCTTTACAGCCAAAACTACTGTAGATAAGTGTACTACACTATGTAAACCATGCAGTTCATCGTGTATGGCCATTGTCCATTTAATTTAACCCTCTAGGCTACTGCATTTGAAATACGTGTGGCCCAGAACAGTATTTAATGCATTTACTTGATCTCTTTTGCTCCTGGATATCAGGCAATATTATTGCAAATGTACTGTAGTGGAATCCCAGGTGGAGATCACTGTTCTTATGTGTTTGACTGACCAATTGCCCTGCTCTGCCCACAGAGGTGTTAGAACTCATCTTTCATCTACTGAAGCCATTTTTCCACTTTACCTTACCCCTGGAGAACAGGTGGGGGCTTTGTAACCACCACAAACTTTCAAAGCACTCTGTGCTGTGCATAGGTGGCTGCTACCACAGTTGGATACTGTGGAAAGAACAGGCAGAGGAGAGCTCCCAGGGCTGGGAAGGCAGTTTAATGAGTATATGCCATAGAAAACCTCATTTAATGAGTTTAACCAGTGCAACAAAACAGCATCAAACACAAAGTATGAGTGTTTTTTAACAAGTCTCTACCACCATCATTAAAAATAACTCTCATTACATGAGGAGGAAAGCACTACATAGAAA